AGCAGCGGCGTATCTAGCCGAAGATCGTGGGTTCGAACCCCCTTGCCATTAACTTTTTTTCATCTCAACTAAAAACCTTAATTAATTGTAAATGGAGTAAGTTTGCTGACATTTGGTGGTCTCTAGGTTTGGAAATAGTTTAAAATCACAATAGTAAATTTTTCAACTTGGAAAAAAAAATATTTTTCTACGTTATGGTGACTAAAACGCTTATTTCCCGAAGGTTTACAAGTTAAGTATTGATCACATCTTATTGGAAATTTAACGCAGTTTTCAATGGGCTCAACGGATTTATCCAAAACCTTTTAGTTTTGGAGTAATCATTGTTTATTTCAAAAAAGGTCGTGAAATCTTAAAATATCAGAAAAAGTAAAATAACTCCTAAACTGATGAGATAGTTAATAAGGACATTTTGGTTTCAGTTTGAATGTAGAATCTACTGGCAAAGTATGAAACACGAGTAGCCGAACACCCTGCATATGAATCATCCACGAGGACATTGTTGTACAGGGCCTTCAGTAATTATATTAATATATACTGTATTTTTAGTTGGTCCTATTAACCAAAGTACTGCTTCTTAATTTAGCAGAATTATATTTATGTAATTATGTTATATGGTATACTGTATATGTGTTATATACACAGTGTGACAGAACCGTCACACGGATGACTTTTTATTTTTGCTTATAAGTTATACTTCAATAACCTATTCTTTAAATAACCTTATTACAAATATTTTGGTCGACCACATTTCTTAAATCCTTTTTCCTTTAAAGAAAGGGTTTTTGATTAAAGAAAACAACCCGGCTCTTAAAAAGTTCCATTTTATGCATTTTCGAAGCTGAGAGGCTTCCTCTTCAGAATATCTAGGGTCGAAAAATGAGTCGTCGTTGTATATAATATATAAATTTTTTTTATTTCATGCACAATTTCAGAAAAGATTTGACAATATATAAGGTGCATCTACAGTCCACCCATTTATTTCGGAAAGGATTAACTTTAGCAAACAATGGTCTTATACAAACTCCAAGTGAATTTTTGCTAGGAATCGCGTAGTGGTTACAGATTTGACATAAATTTTTTATCTAGCTGGGAAATGACACTACCTTTGTTATTTCAATTGAGCATCCCATAATTTTATTGTTCAATTCGATTCCAGAGCTTATTTTATGCCATTTTTACTGAAAGAAAAAAAGGAAGCAAATGAACAAACGGATATTATTTAAACAGGAATGGATGGACCATATTGGAATTAATAAAGTTATTTTTAGATAAGGAGGATTTTATGAGAGCAATTTTATGTACTTTAACAGAAGAACGTTTTTATCCAACCATTTCTTTAATTAAAGCTATGTCAATATTTATAGTGATAATCAAGTTAAATAAATTTGTATCACAATGTAAGATAGCCACGAATCAGCAAAACCCAATAATTTACTTGCAAAGCAGTGTTACATGGCGACATGACAATAATAAGGTACTTAACCAACATCCTTGCCAAAATCTACGTGCACAATGATAACAATTCATAAAGCAATATTATTTATTCGCGGTTTATTATTATTTTCAGATAGCTCTGTCAGTTTTTACGACAGGCACACTGCAGAGACAGGAGACATCTTTTACAAAAGCCATCAAAGAATTGGTATTTCTCTGACACGCTTTTCTTTCCCTCACCCTTGTTCCGCTAATATTTTCTTGTCAGCCTTTTTATAAACGATTTTCTTATTGAAACGCAATGTCGAAAAAATTATGAGGAAAACGTATTTTAGAGACTAAATTAGGACTCCCTTATGAATTTTTTTTTCTGGCAATAAATCTACCCTACTACTCGAAACACAAAACTCAAAAGGTAAAAGGGAACGATTCAGGCCGAAACGCCCAACACGATTAAATCGGAATGTTTTCCATTGAGGTAACTCCAGTATTCAATTAATGGAGTTGGGATGGGATATTCAGTATCGCCAGAGCTTGTGTTGTCCGATTTAACATTTCTGGCCCAAAATTCACTTTACGGAAAAGAATATGAATTCGCTGAACTTAATATACCAACCAGACAAAATCACCTATCACAGGATTAACAAAAAAATATTCTAATATGACAAACCGTCATTATAAGCAAAATCTAAAAGCATCTTTTCTTTCTATATCTTCACGCGCTGAATTCATGCCAAAATAGTACAATTAATTTAGGAGAATATTATATTGCATCATGGTCAATGGTAATTCCAAAATCCAAAAAGTCAGAGGCTGGCTATGAAGTCAGCTCGTTTTGTAACATGGCATGCTGATTTCACTGCCGTAATATACTCTCTCTTGTTTCGTAGCATTTGACATGGTGTTTGATCCCGTTTGTATCTCAACAGAATTAACAGGCATGGGTCGCTCATGTTCAAAAACAAGTGTTTTAATTTTCTTCTCTCACGTCAAGCGATTCTGGGTTGATTGCGGTATGACCCGGTTAAAATAAAAAAAAGGGCAAACACGTCCTTTTTTCAGGATCCGTGGACATGTTTATACGGTTGACCTGAACTGTTTTTCCTTACAGTCGCAGGTTCAACATTTACCGAACCTCCTCCGCAATTTCAGTTTGCCGTCCTACTCAAATTTACTATCTAAACTGATGGCGACTGCAGTTTCAAACTGCCCACATACCGCCCTTGTGAATAAATTCAATATCGAAATTAATTTATATCGATAAAATGAGTATACATATAATATTAGAAACGATTATTTTTCAAAAATAAAAATGTCCTCTCTCTTTCTCTCTCTCTCTCTCTCTCTCTCTCTCTCTCTCTCTCTCCCGCCCTCTTACTCTCTCTCCGTTTCACTCAGACTCTTTTATTTTCTTTGTCTGTACATTTTTGTCTGTCTATTTCTCTCTCTTTCTCCCTCTCTCTCTCTCTCTCTCTCTCTCTCTCTCTCTCCTTCTATTTATGTTGGTCCATTCACGATGTCTGCTTATATCCATCCCTGTCTCTGCAATTATCTCTATATCTCTCACACTACATTACACAAATCTCTTCTCTACAAATGTCACTTTATCACTCTCTTCTCAACTTTTTCTCTTTCTCTCTCTCTTCTTTTTCTATTTATGTTCATTCACTCACGATCTCTGCTTATATTCATCCCTGTCTCTGCAATTATCTCTAAATCTCTCACACTACATTACTCCAATCTCTTCTCTACAAACGTCAATCTATTTTTTCTCTCTTCTCGACTTGCTCTCTCTTTCACTCTCTCTCTCTCTCTCTCTCTCTCTCTCTCTCTCTCTCTCTCTCTCTCGCTCTCACATTCTATTTATACGTTATCTAGAAGTATTTATAAATGAATTGTCAAAGTAATTCTGCGGATTAAATTGTGTTTTAATGTTTTGCAATATGTTTAGAATTATAACGATAATATCAAAATACAATACATACATATTATACATAACTGCATATTATACAAAACTGGAATACCATTGAGTCAATGCATTCAAAATAACGTGTGTAATCTTCGTCCTTTGTAAGTTGTAATAACTTTTGTAATTTTAATACTTATATTCTAATTATAAAGTGGATTAGTAATGAATCAATTTCGTTAATTTATAATATGTATGTTGTTAGCATTGAAGAAGGCTTGTTAAACGAACATAAATAAATAAATTTCAAAGCTGATTGGAATTCAACCCCAAGGGTTGTCATTCCCTGAGGTGCTGACCCTGGGGTCTGTCTACCCCATTATGCAACGGTCACTAGCCCTTGAGCCCTGCTTAGTCTTGGTCGACCTTTACATTGTATGTATTTTATGAGCTCAACATTTCACTCGGTATAAAAATGTAGATTCTTGATATTTGAAGTTTGATTTAATTATTTGGGATCTTCCTTTGTCAATTTCTGCAAAAGTAACATATTGTTAAATAAATTAATGTTACTCAACCTCTCTTTTTAACCGAAAGAGATTTTTGAATCTTAGAAAAACAAACAATTATTTATTAACAATAAAAAGATAATAATTTGAAAGTAAAACGACTAAACAATAATTAACCAATATACACAGTTTGTAGTGTATCGAGTTTAATTTCGATAGGCAAAGAAACGATTAAAATTTTTACTGTGTCCATGATTTATCCTCTATGTCGTAAAATGTTAATGAAAAAAAAATTCTTAATCAACTTTGATAGCGTTACGGAACAAAACTAGGTTTTAAAAAGGTTTAGCCTTGTTTTAAATATAAAAATATCGTATAGAAAATTTTTCAATAGTGAAAAAGCAGAGAAGACCCTTTAGTCTTGAACTTCGGTTGTAATTTTTTCTTCTCCCCAAGTTTCATTATGAATTGCGCCTCCAGGGATTCGAGGCCGATTCAATAAGTGATTTTCCCCCAAAGATTGAACGGACTATATTGCCTAACTAAAACTATATTGCCTTTTATTTAACTGATTTGATTAAACCGAGTACAAACCTCGCGTACCTTACGCAATTTGCATACCAGGCACAGAGCTAATCAAGCATTCAAAATAGATATTGTTGGCGAGGAGAGGAAGCTCTGAATTAAATCTTTCTTCAACCGGAAAATATTAATGGATCTTAGAAGAAGTGGGTGGTTTGTCAGAGAAGAGAATAGATTGATTACACATAGAATCATTATTACCTTTCATCCATTATTTTTATCTTTTTCTCATATTTTAACTCTAATCGATTTTTTATCCAAGTGACACTTTTATTTACTGTTCTGCAACTTAATCAAAGTTTTATCTAGAGACTTGTTTTTCAAAATTATAAAAAAATATCAATTAATTTACAATCGACAAAACTTTATCAGTACTGTAATATATTAAATTTAACAATTATTAATAAATATATTCTTTTTGTACAAAAAACTCTTAATATTTATATAGCTGATATTTCACTTTTTCTGAAATCAATTCACTTTTTCTGCACAACTTTTACCATTTTTAAATATATAAATAATATATATATTATTTGTATTAATTTATTTCTTTTGGGATTTTTCAGGAAAGGCTCATAAAGTATGTACAGAAAACGGGACTTGGTTCAGACATCCAGAATCCGGCCAAATTTGGTCCAACTACACCACTTGTGTCAACCTGGATGATCTTAGCGTGAGTAAACACCATTGCCCGCAACGCTTTTTCAATCGCGACTCCGTGCAAAATTCAATTTTCAATTCACGCCCCAAGATTTAAAATTCAAAGAAGGAAATTACAGCGGTGCCCCTCTCCATCGAACCTGGGCACAATTAAACAGAGAGAATCAACAAGAAAAGGCGGATTACTCATTCCCGCCGAGGCCGAAGGGAAGGCCTTCCTCTTAATCAACCGGCACGCCCTTCCTTAAACATTATCTTGAATACTAACCGAAAGGTCACGTCATCTTCATGCACGGAACATTGTGAGAGCCAAGTACAATGTTCAATTTTTCAAACTAACAACCACTTTCAATTTTTCACTATGGGCTCATTTCACGAAATTAGTTTCTGGCCTGTCTCATGAATGTTTAACAACACAGCAGGAAATAATTGGCACCTCCTGAAAGCCGACCTTGGTAATTAAAGTTTCTTACTTTAATTCATGTTATACTGCTGAAAAACATAATTAAACAACCCTTTTTCCAATAGTTTTAACCAGCAAGATGATTTTAAACGCGTAAACAAGCTGCAAAACACACGTAAATCAACACCATTAAAGAATGGAAAATTCTGAGCGTTGAAAGAACGTTTTTAAGAATTTTTTATTGTTTTTAAACGTTTTGCTCGTTTCCTTGTCAGGCTTTCACAGTAGTACATAATATTATTGAGGTTTCCTCTTCTTCTTGGCAAAACATATACAGGCAGTTTGCTGCCACAACGAAAATTTTAAATTGCAAATTGAATCGGGAATGCCCGGTTAGCAGAATCTCAATTGAGGCGAATGCTTTGAGCAACTTGACAATCAGAAGCTTGCCCAGCTTTTTATTCTCTTTTGCACCGAGCTCAATTAACACGGTTTCCGCCTGAAAAACCACGGCATATAAGCCTGAAAAAACAATCGAATTTGACATTTTAACTCCCCCTTCGGTTTTTGACCCGTCCATGTACCAAACTAGGATTATCATAGATTTAACTATGAACTACCAATCGTGAAAACTTACCTACTCGCCTCAACATGTCCTCGTAACCCACTCTATACTAACCTAACTTAATCAGTCCCAAACCACAACCATAACCTATCCTAACACTAACAATGATCTAAAGCTAACTTAATATAAAATTCCATAATCCTTACTCCACAAATCGTAATCATAAATAAAACCTAACCCTAAACTAACCCTAGCCATAAACAAAATCTAATTCTAACCGTAACCTAACTATAAACCTACCTAACTTAACCCATCCTATTCTAACCTAACGTGTCCCAAACCAACACCATAACCTAATCCCTCTCAAACCCTAACCTAGCCCTAATCTAATTTATCACTTTTTATTCGTAACATTAACTTTAACCCCAGCCCTAAACATGTCCTTACCCTAATCCAAAATCTAGCATTAACCCTAGCCCTAAACTAAACATAACCCTAATCCTAACCTTACCCCTATCTATCCTTACCCTCCGAAACCTAAACCCTACCTTACCTAATCATTCCGAATCTAACTTAATCCAACACATGTACACTCCTTATTTAAACGAAATCGACGACGCAAAAATTTTCCCGCAAAAGATATGTATCTGTTTCATCCACACTGCTCTTTTTGGCATTATAATTTGGGATTTCTCTGCGAATTTATACCACGTATACAAATCATAGTTCTGTACTTTGCAGGCATACTTAGTTTAATAATTAAATTGAAGTTTATCCTTTTGTATTACTTGTTTGGCATCATGGAGGTGGCTTTAAGAGCCTGTGAATGGATCTTTTCCCTGGATGAGGTGGTGGTTTAAAAGATCTCCAGGGCATCGGCCGACGTATTCTTATGGCCCTCGTGACACTCGCTATCCTTCTCCCAACTGCGGGTTTTATCCCACCGCAATTAAAATGAAAGGCAATAAACGATTTCACTGCTGCTATACCAAACATTTGGTCCTAAGTTTGGTCCAGAAATAATCATCTGAATTGCTAAACTCAAAAGTTTTCAATGTCAAATTCTTGACAGTGACAACAATTTAAACGAAATGCAATTTATAACAAATTGGTATGCTGTAAAGATAAAATTTCTATAAAAGAAGAGAGGAGTCGTCGATAAAAACAAATTTCGGCTATAAACGTTTGATCAAATATTAGCCAATCTTTCAATAAAAAACAGTTTCAAACAAACAAGAGAACTGTTCATATTGTCTGCTAACGCTATACCTACAATATAGAAATAAGCTAGTAAAAATCAATTTTTAACCTTGACAAACTGAAATATTCTATTAAATGATTTCTTTTAACTTAGTCCCAAATCAATAATTAAAATTTATTNATACACTTAATATAACTTACATATAACTTTCCATAAATTTTTATTTTTATTTTCCTGTTTATTTTCGCTGGTGAGGTCTGTCAGCCTCGTTCCTGGGGATTCTAAATGGTATAATAAATATGTTATTTCTATATACTCATTCGTATTAGATCTTTTAATAAGTCCATTCTTAACGTTAAACAAACTATTAAACAAAATAAAATTGATCCTTTTTTATTGAATCTGTTGATATGAAGGGTTTTCAGAGCCGTTTAAACTTCCGTTCTGCAGGGTTCGGGAAATGTAGGTGTCGCTACAACGACAAAGTACAACGTAATTAGTTTCGTTGAAAGACAGAGGCAAAGGAAGCTAATATGCCAATCTTAGAATATTTCGTGAAGTAAAATATTAAACTTTCCATGTTTTAGCTGTGCGCTCACTGATTTGAAAATATCAGTTTAAATTTATGGAATCTAATTTTGAATTATTTACACGGAAGTGAATAATAAAACATTTTATTATAGACATGATAAAATGGAAAGGTGAGTATAATATTTGTGCAACAATATAAAAAAAGTAATATATTTTATCATCAAAAAAAGTTGTACCGTGGAATGGTAATTTCTAATATACAATAAAAAAAATTCTGCTAGTATTGAACGTACTAATATTGAAAAGATAATCATCATTACCTTGGCTTAAACTTACTGTCTCTACTGACTTAACCCACCTCAGCCGAACCCGAAATTATAATCTACCCTAATACATCCCAACCTTAACAATAACCTAAAGCCAACACTAACCCTAACCCATTCTATCCTAATATAACCTAACACATCCCAAACACAAACTATATAGTAATTATGTTTGTAGATCGACCTGCAGATAATCAATGTATTGTAATGTAATGTATTGTAATGTAATTGTAATGTAATGTAATTCAAAGGTAGTAAGGTCTCTACTAGGTGAATGAAAGACAAAAGTGTTGGGATCACCAAGCTTTCGGCAACATTATGTTGCCATCATCAGGGCCTATTTATTAAGAAAAATATACATAATTAATATAAGTTTAACAATCAACAATTAAAACAATAATGCATAATTTCCCAAGAGAGAAGAGAAAAAAATTCTCATCGGAAAAAAATAATGTAAGTGCTTTGGTTTAGGTTATGAAGCATATGGCCAGCATTCAGTTATACATGGTGAACAAGACATCTATGTAAAGTAGTGAGTAATTATTCGCATATAACATTAACAATTGACAAAAATAATAATTTTTTTTAAATTACCTCACTAATGAATACATATAATTATATTTTACACATTAATCGACATATCTTGGCTCACCCAGCTTGGAGAAGGAAAACTGAATCGGATATTCCCATATGAAAAACAAGTTTGTTCAGTTGGTGGTCACCCGAGGGCCATTAGACCTTTTCCCTCGTGTAAGGGTAAAAAACACGACAAAAACCTTCTCGTGGACTCGATGATGACTCGGATTATCCGAACTGGGTGAATTTTCGGATTGAGCGACATATTTTCTTCGGATCTTTCTCGTGTTCTTTCAGCTAAATTAAATTGTCTATTTTCTTCGTTATTCTGTCAATACATTGTTTCTGTTACGTTGATATTGAAATACTAGAATTTCTTATGGTATTAAATATTGAAATTTTGATTGTTTGATAGCTCCTTTGAGCAAAAATAAAACCATTCACTATATACGTTTTTCAGTGTACTTTTTTTAATCTTTCCATGCTTACATAAAAAATATTCAAATTTTCACATTCAAATATGAAAACTTGACAGAGCGATTAGGCACCAACTTTATTATGGGGAGTGCAAACAAAGGTCGATGCTGAGACGGATTTAAATATGCAATGTGGCTCTATATCGAACATGAATTTCTGACAAATCAACATTGATCATAATTTGAATTATTAAAAAACGGTCAAATCCTTGAAGGGTGAGTGGGCCAGAGAGCGCGATAAGGAATTTGGGAAAGAAAAAGAGAGAAAAGTCGGGAACACACTTACCCGATGCAACGCTATGCGACGCTACCCGACGCAAATCCAAAGTCCAATTTTCTAAAATATTGTTTTACTCCCCTGCACATCTGCCCGACGCTATGCTACGCTCTGCGATCCCCTCTATGCAGATTTTCGTCGAGTAGAATCGAGTACAGCCGAAGACAAAAGAACCGGACTCTCATATTTTTATTTAAATTATATGTATTATTGTCGTTATATTAATTACAACATACTTATTTTAATTATTCCGAAATTGTGAGATGCGGTTTGGTGTGATGTAGGTTTCAGAAAAACATTTTCTTTATGTGACAACGTTTCGATCTTTATTGATATCATCTTCAGGGCCTTGTGTTGTCTGCGTTTAAACAAAAAATTTCTCTGCTTGAGACCCGATGCAAGTTTCTTCTCATTGTTGTCGATGTCATTCAGAATACTACTTGCTTGGTGTCCATAAGTAGATTTCAAATCTGTTCATAGAATCCCATGTTCTTCGTTCTTCTCGCGTAGAAATGTGTGGTGTTTAGTGACCGTTACTTAATGATTATTCGGAGATCGTGAGATGCTGAGGGTTTCATGATTTTGCTCATAAAAATTACACCATTTTCGTCGAGTAGCTACAGAACAGGACACTCATATTTTTTGTAGTTTATCTTAGTAT